AAAATCCAAGTTCATTATGCATAGCCTTAAGGGGGCTGAAAGTATTAAAATCCACACTTACCCTAGTGAATTGAAACAGAGACAAGGTTAAACCTGGAGGATTGATGAGTTTTACTCTCTGCATGGTTAAATCCTGCAGAGGGGAGATGCTGTAGAAGAAAGGCAGCCTGGATGATGATGGTGGGGAGGGGGGGGAGGTTTGGGGTTTTTTGGGGGAGGGGTTGGCAGAGTAAAGTATTTCTTACGTTTTGGGGTTGGGGGATGAGTTACCCACTTTCCCTTCCGCAGACACTGCCAGGGTGTCTACCCACGCTGTGTTATCTTGGAGCGCCTGAAGCTGTTCTCGGAGCAAGTTGCGGTACGTGTTGCACTCTGTGTTTCCAGACAGCCCCATTTGAACTCCAGCGTCGATGGCGAGTGCATGCGGCTGCGGGTGCGAGGTTTAGCCCCCCCTTGCACCTGTGAAACCTGGGAATGCAAACGTCAGACTGGGACGGGCAGCAGCATTTCCAAGCTGGGGAAGACAGATTCTTACTTAATCTGGGCCCTGCTTGCTTGAAGAATAACTGTTTATTTGAAGTCTGTAGGATTGGGGCAAATTCAGCATTGATCCCTGAACTCTTGTACCCTTTGGAAAACTATCAAAAGAAAAAATGAAGACAGAAATCTTAGAAGACCAGTTCTCCACCAGTGGGAAAAGGCCAAGGCGGCCTGCAAAGAAACAGACGTTGCTTTTGGCTTGTGCCTGCTCACTGGGAAAACGCAGGAACGCTGGCTGTCTTTGGCTAGTTTTTGTAGGGTTGCCCAGAATGCACCATTGCATTTGAACTTCCGTCTGTTCTTTGTGACTGTAAGGAAGACACAATACACGTATAAAAGGGGAAGGGGAAGGGGATATGCAGCATAGAGAAACTGCAGTCTCCTTTACAAAAAAAAAAAAAAAAAGATAAAAAGATATTGGCCTAAAATAGCATAGTCTTACCTTGTCACGGTGGTAGGGAAGAGGGCTCAGGGCGTGGGTGTGTGTGCGTGTTCAAGACCCTGCAGAGTCCCTGGAACTGAAATTCCAGGCAGACAGAGTGCTTACAAGTAGCCCTCGTCCTTTTTATGCTTCCTGCTGGCCGGGGGTGTTCGGGCCCTGTAGGTTTGGCCTACCCGAACACGGGGCCGTGTGGCGTGCTCTCGGGGCCGTGGCAGCGGGGCCTCTCGCGCGTGGTGTGGCCTCTGGCAAACAGGCAGCGTGTTGCTTGCGTTTCTTTTTGTACTGGCTCCCAACCAGGGCTCACTCCCTTGAGCCGTTCTCACAGACATGATTTGCAGCAAAGACGTTGTGGTGGTTTTAGCCATTGAAGATCCCTGTGTTGTTCTGAAAAGCTGCTCTCCTCCCATCATCCCAGCGAAGGGGTTGGGAATCCAGACCCAGGCTAGCCAGCGGGACCCCGGCTTTCTGCTTCGAAGCTGGTGACTATAATAGGGCCAGGGCAGAGCCCTGGGGTGTGTGGGAAGAGGGGAGCCCGGAGTCGCAGAATTGGCACTTGGTTCTGACCGCGTCTCTGCCCATGAGCCCCTCCGTGCGGTGGAGATGGCGGCTGGGAGCAGGTCCCCTTTGGATGCTGCAAAATGCCTTTGCCAAATAAAAACCAGTTTCTGTTGCTCACTGGCACCGGGGTTTGGAAGAGGAGAAGAGAGCTCACGTGAGATGGTATTTAGGTCTGCTGTACAAAAGCTGCGTGAGAGCACAGAGGGAACAGGAGGCGTGTGGAGCCCGTGGCGCTCCCGAGCAAAACGTGGAGGGTCGCGAGGGGAGGCTGGGGGTGCGAGCTGCGTCCTATTTAATAGCCGAGAATGGGCCTTGCCTGGTTAATGATGTCTTTGCTGCCTGTGCCCGGTGTGTGTATTAAAAAACCTGTGGGAGCTGCACGGACTAGAGGCTTCCTTTCGAGCCCTGAGCTGGGAGAACAGCAGCATCCCTAAGGTGGAAGAGAAAATGGAAACAACCTCGAGAAAGAGGAGCAGCCAGATCCTGCTGGCTGAGCTGGAAGAGTTCTTCTTTCGCAGACTGCTTTCCTCGGGCACAGCAGCAAATGGGCTGGAGTCCGTACATGTAGCTGTCAACTTTAACGAGGCCGTGGCTGGCTCCCACAACAGCCTGTGTGGGCTGGAAAACCAGTAAAGTGGGTGCACTTGGTATTATAATTTATCTTGCTTAGGTTGTTTTCCTCAATGTGATTAGTCACCCTCGGTATTTAAAATGAGGCGTGTAGTGGGGGAGAGGGGAGAAAGAATGAAATCGGTGACGTTTCGTTAAAAGTCCCCAAGCCGTCAGCCTTTCAGCTTCCTCTGACATGAGCAAACTGCGAGTGTTTGTCAGCTTTGCCCACCTGAGTGTGAAATGATGCTCTATCAAAACACCGGTTTCAGCGTTTCCCTCTCCGCTCCCGACACGCGAACCCTGCTGCGGACAGGAGCCGCCGCGCTCTGCCCAGGAATTGCACTGAGATTGCAGCACAAGTGGAAACATTTGCTCAGTGTAATGATGGGGTCTGAGTCAAGCCAGCAAAGCAAGGCTGGAGGGCTGTGATTGCCGGCAGACCAAATAGCAGCACTCTGCAGTTTCCTTCCAACCAACTGATGGAGCCTTAAAGTCGCACCGTCCTTTTTGTCAGTACTGCAGCTCGCTATTTCCCATCTGATTACTCAGTTGAAACGGCAAGCGCAAGTTACGTTCATCAGAGAATAGTCAGGAAGGTTGGAAGTGCCGCAGGCTTGGGTGAGGCATGCCTCTCGCTCCTTTTTTTTTTTTTTTTTTCCCCCAGCATGGTGAAGGTAATGATTTCTGAAGCGCTATCTGCAGGCACGGGGAAACCGGAAGGTGTTTGCACCTTGGCAGGAGAGCCTGGGTTTTCTTCTCTGACTGGCTCATTGGCATTTCTGTCCTACAGAGAGACAGCAGGACGCATGCAGCGCTGCTGTGCCCCTTTCCTCCCGAGAGGGGTTAGTGCCAAAGCCTCCTCAGGCTCCGAACGCAACACCGAGTTTGCACGCTTAGAGCAGTGGTTTCTCTCCTAGCTGTCACTGCAGCGCATTGTCATCAGAGGAAGCTGGACCTCCTACAACACTGGCCCCCGCCTGTTGTTTATTACTAAATGCCTGTAGTTTCTCCCCAGATCCTGAACTTCTCCGCTTTCGCCTTGTTTTGCCTCTCGCTCTGGCTGCGGACCAGTACCCCGGGAGAGCCTGGGCAGGCCCCACGGCAGTGCCTTCCTCTGCTGTTCGCCCTGTTTTCTTTGGTGACAGGCTCTCTGTGCCTGAGCCCTGTAGTTTGGGCACCCAATTCATGGGCCAGTTACAACACTTCAGCCCTGCTGTCCTGCTCTCCATAGCTCAGGGTAGCATCAGCTTTTCAACTATCGCTTCTGTTTTCCAGAAGTGTTTTGGTTTGACTTTTGCGTTAAACTTGCCATAAACTGTGTGCACACTCTTGATTTAAAACAGAAACTCCAGTTACAGTTTCATAGTCCAGGCTGTGCTGAGCTTTACACATAGCCGTAGCGGCACGTGTTTTGTTGGATGAGGAGACAGCATCTCTCACCGCAAAGCAGACGCTGCCGCGTTCGCTCTTTCAGTACGGGTGCATTTTCTGAGGGTGGAGCAGCTGATGGGTTAACTGGTTTATGAATTAGTTTAAGAAATGTCACTCAGTGAAGGGGAATGTTTTTGTGTAAGGGTCTATGCTCCTGCACTGTTAAAACTCATACTTTGTGCCTTGTGTGTGTTTGAAGAAGCGATTAAATATTAACGGCTGGCCTTTTTTGCTATTACTGTTCAAAACTTGAAAGTTCCCTCTTTGGCAGAGACTGGCAGGAAACTGTCTCCAATGGAAGTGCTGGCAAGAAGCAGCCGTTTTTCAAAACAGTTGCTGTCTTCTATTGATTTCTGTAGAAGCAAGGCGTTAAAAGAGCCCCTCCCTGGAATGGTCCCGCTTGAGACCGGTGAGGTCTTAACTGAGGTAGTAGCCAAAACTGTAGTATCCCTGCAGGTCTGAATTTCACCCTTTGAATCCCTCTTTCTTTCTCTCTTGAGTGGTGGAAAACAGTCTGTCTTCGCCTCCTGCTCCAGAGAAATCCTGACAGTTTTCCTGGCCTGGCTTTTGCAGGGTGCGCTGGCCCTGGCAAACCGCTGAAACGCAGGCCCACGGATAATTTCGATTATTGTTCTAATAGCAAGTTGTTAGTCTACTCTGAAGGAAAAAAATCCCTTCCACTGGTGTGTGTGTGTGTGTGTGTGTGTGTGTGTGTGCTGTCTTCCTGCAGTAGGCTGCTAAAGGCCCTGGTTGATTTGGAAAGGGCATATATAGGAAATAACACTCTCCCAATGGTTTTTCCTTGATTTCCAGAATTACATGCTTTATAAAAACACTTTTTCCTTTCCCCCATCTCTCTTCTCAGGTTACTTTGGTTTTAAAATTAAAAGTAAATAACACTAACCAATTTTTTTTTTTTTTTAAGAGAAGCTTGCTCCTCTTATCAGAATTGCTGCATACGTGATATTAATTGGAATCTTGTTGCTGGGTCATTTTCATTGTTTTTCAAGTACCGTCAAGTCCAAGAAAATGTATGAAAACGAAATTATAGTCCCACGTAGGCTGTCTGATTGAATCCTCCTTATGGCTCTGTGGTCTCATACATCCTATTAAAATATTCAATCTTGTTTTCTTACTTGAAGAGCCTGTCTGTAAAGGGCAAACTTATAGAAAACCTCATTCTCTAGAGATATGGTATCCAGCCACACTGAAATATTTACATATTTCTGTACTGTGTGTGATTGGTCTTATGCAAGTTCTCCTCTTTGCTTGTATTTATTAATAAAGATTGTTGAATGCATTTTTAATTACACAAGGCCTTTTCATTTTAAGGAGTGGAAGATTTTGCTGCCTGCCTCTTCCTTCCAATTTGACCTTGAAAACTAACTTTCCCCCTCCTCCTTCCTCTTCTCCCCAGGACGGAGCTTTATCGTTCGCTGTTTGGAAAAATCACGCGCCCTGAAGACACCGAGCAGAATTAGCGCTGGGCCCTCGCGTCCGGCCTGGCCGCCTGGCGGACCCCGCGCTTGGGCCCCTCGCTTGGCCGAGGCGCAGCGGGCCAGCGGCTGGCTTGCTCCCCAGCCCGGCTGAAGGACACCCAGTGTGGTTACTGTGTGCAGAGACACAGTAGCACCTTTTTTCCTTAAGTCAGAGAAGAAGCTGGGTCTTGCCTGCTGCGTCAAGCTCTCTTGCTGGGGATTCATTTGTGGCACGTGGATTCCCGTTAAAACGTACGGCGGTTGGGGCAGACATTTAGCGTGCCTAAATGCCCTCCTCGCCCCTGCTCAGGTGAAGTCTGCTTCCTCCCAAAGGCAATCCATTTTCAACTCTTCTTTTTCAATTCCTGGCCTTGATTTGGCAGACTGCTCAGCACAGGCGCATTGCTCTGCTGGGGGCCCCGCTCAGCTCAGCGGGGACCCCCCGCCCCCCAGTCCGCTCACCCAGCTTTGAATTAAATCCTTAGCGCTCTTTATTTGTGGGATTGGTGAGGGTTTTTGAAGCATAAAGTTCTGTTCATTGGCTGCATATCTGGAATGTGCGACTTGATTCTCACTGAGTCAAGAGGATTTAAATATCATTTACATAATTAACATGGCCTTAAAACACAGGAAAGGTGCTCACCCTCAGAGCCAGCCCGACCTCCCCCTCCACGCTTCAGTTTCTGAAGGCGCTCTTGCTGCTCCCATGGACGTTTCCTGACTGGTGATGAGCACGACGCAGGACACGTCCGGGGATGTTCCTGCAATTAGAAGATATTGGTGAATTTTCAGTCTAGCATTGATCCTGCACCCTTAATTATTTCTGTTGGTCGTGACTCTGAGCCACCCTGGCTTCACCATCACCATGGCACGCTTTAGAAAGCTGCCAGCACGCGTGTAAAGCCGGCCGGGGAGATGGCTCACTTGGGGGGTTTCGGCAGGGTTTTTGTATCCAAAGGTCAGAGGCTGGAAATTAAATCCCCGAAAGGGGAATTTATTAGCCTGCTGTGATCAATCTCAAATGGAGGTTATCTTGCGTGAATAATATGCATATGTATGTATAATAAGGTGGCCAACGCTTGTGACCACATGAGCTGCAGGATCTTTGTTTTGTGTTTTCTACAATCTAATAAAAACACACATTTTGTAAACCGATCGTCCAGGTTTGATCAGCGCGGCCAAGGGCTCCGGCAGCCGAGGCTTCTCTGGGGC